ACATCTGGACCTTTGTTACAAAATATTGGATTCGAGCGAGTTTTTCTTTTGTTACCTACATGATAAGACATGACATTCACATAACCCCATACACCCACACACCTCCCATACACCGCCATCATGCACATCTACTGCTGGCCAAATGAGTGTAGCTAGCAGGCGCAGTAGTTGCCCACGAGTCACTCACGGTCGCTCACAATATGGTCCAATATGGAAAGCTCGCTAGATGGTAAGTGGAAATTTTGCATATATAACGCATTCATCTCTGGCTCGTGAGCCAGTTCTTTATGCCATAACAGGGAACAAGAAAAGCAACTCATTTCCTTTATTTCGGTTGTAATAATTTGTGGCATAGGTCCAGTTGGGGATTAAATCTGTTACATTGCAAATGTTCCATAATCATTGTGTTTGTCAATCAATTGCATTTTTTGTTCGGGTTCTAGCATCGTTGAATTTATGTTTCCCACAAATTTCAGGGTGGTCCATTTAGGGTAGTCCATGGGTAGTCCATTCAAGTAGTCCATGGACTAGGGGTCAGTGAAATGTACCAACCCTATAATCCATGTCGTTTAGTAGAGATACAAGAAGTGACATTAGTATTGGGTATCCTTTACCCCTTAATTTTCGTCCTCGCCCATAACCCTTTATCCCCAGGGATCAAGAGGTTGAGTGTCGATTGATAAACTTTATCGACCCTCAATTGACCCTCGATTGACACTTGACTGATACTCAATCAACACCTCAGTTGACACTCACTCAACACTTGACTGACAGTACGTTAAGAGTTGGTCAAGAGTCCAGTGAGAGTTGACTAATTTTTGATTGATTTGTATGAAACGGTTGACACTCGGCCAACCATCAACCCACTGTTGATCGGGCGTTGATCGAGTGTTGATCAAGTGTTGATCGCAGGTCGATCAAGGGTACAAATATCAATCAACACTCGACTGTGGATGTCTTTAGTAAACATGATTTATAGGACCCATCATATCCTTACTTGATGAAGATATCACTGCTTATCAAGTGTCGTAATTGAAATGGTCATGCATCCTTTCTTGAAGATTTGGCTNTTTCCCACAAATTTCAGGGTGGTCCATTTAGGGTAGTCCATGGGTAGTCCATTCAAGTAGTCCATGGACCAGGTCCATCGGGGTAGTCCATGGACTAGTAGGGGTCAGTGAAATGTACTAACCCTATAATCCATGTTGTTAAGTAGAGATACAAGAAGTGACATTAGTGTTGGGTATCCTTTACCCCTTAATTTTCGTCCTCACCCATAACCCTTTATCCCCAGGGATCAAGAGGTTGAGTGTCGATTGATAACCTTAATCGACTCTCAACTGACCCTTGATTGACACTTGACTGATACTCAATCAACACCTCAGTTGACACTCGATCAACACTTGACTGACAGTACGTTAAGAGTCGGTCAAGAGTCCATTGAGAGTTGACTAATTTTTGATTGATTTGCATGAAACGGTTGACACTCAACCAACTATCAACCCACTGTTGATCGGGCATTGATCGAGTGTCGATCAAGTGTTGATCACAGGTCGATCAAGGGTACAAATATCAATCAACACTCGACTGTGGATGTCTTTAGTAAACATGATTTACAGGACCCATCATATTCTTACTTGATGAAGATATCACAGCTTATCAAGTGTCGTAATTGAAATGGTCATGCATCCTTTCTT